GTTCGTTAGATTTCTAGCTGCTATTTTTTCTTTTTCTTGGATAAAAACTTTTAGCTTACTTATTATTTTTAATTTCTTTTTTCTTTTGATAAAGAACCTGGTAACGACGAAACAAAACGATCAATTTATAGCTCTTCACCCATCTCAACTGGAAACAATTTTTCCGAAATTTTCTCTGCAACGGTGCCAATGATAAACCGCTTTAGCGTTATTTCTCGTATTAACGTCCCATATATAAGAACATATTTTACCCTACAATCAGCATAGTATATCGGGTCGCACATTATTATACTCGCCGCATGCAGGGAGATGCATATGATTTATATCTTTTCCACATGCATGTGATCCACATATAAAGTGCGCCTATGTATTATATACAGATATATGAGTCATTTCACGTCAAGTCTCCTAGCGCGGTGCCCGCGCGGCATTATTAATCGAAATTGTTCAATTTGTAACTCGCCAGAAAAGCACCTAAATGCACCCAGAAAAAATATGTGCCATATGATTTTGATAGGAAATTTCCTCAGCTTTCCGATGATGAGGTCAGATTTTCCAAAATTTTCCATTTTCCCCGGAAAAACTTGACATAAACTTTCAAACTCAAATATCTCAAAAACGGCATTTTTAAGATTTTTTTAAATAGTGCCAATCGAAAGCTGAGGAAATTTTCTATCGATATGCAAGTTTTCAGAGAGTACTTTTGATAATTACTTAATGAAATACAGCGACGAACGTGTAAAAACGTGACATTTCGGCCCGTGCGGCAGCTGTTTCCGCGCGCAGTACCCCGCGCGGCGCAAAATCTCACGTTTTTACACGTTCGTCGCTGTATTTCATTGAGTAATTATCAAAAGTATTCTCTGAAAACTTGCATATCGATAGGAAATTTCCTCAGCTTTCGATTGGCACTATTTAAAAAAATCTTAAAAATGCCGTTTTTGAGAAATTTGAGTTTGAAAGTTTATGTCAAGTTTTTCCGAGGAAAATGGAAAATTTTGGAAAATCTGACCTCATCATCGGAAAGCTGAGGAAATTTCCTATCAAAATCATATGGCACATATTTTTTCTGGGTGCATTTAGGTGCTTTTCTGGCGAGTTACAAATTGAACAATTTCGATTAATAATGCCGCGCGGGCACCGCGCTAGGAGACTTGACGTGAAATGACTCATATACGTACGGGTGACGTGCACGAATTTCAGCGCGGACTAGCCTATCGATTCGAAATTTCCGACGCGCATGTCTGACAGTTACATGTCCGAGCGTGTGTACGCGTGTGTACGCGTGTGTAGCGTGTTCATGAGCAGCGAGATCATACGTCCAAATCGAGCAATTTCATATTACATTTTATTGTGCGCGAAATAAAATGCACTCCACGCATAGAAGCATCACACTCATTGAAAAATCGCAGTAATAGCGGCAATTACAGCATTAGACGCACGCGTGAAAGTTTATTTTTCACCACGCATGGCAGGCTTGCGAAAAAAAAGGGCTGAGCAAAAGTAAATCAAGAGCGCAGGTCGGTTGGCTGGGCTAGCAGAAGTAGAGGTGAAACTTTGTGTGTGAATTAAAACTTGGAGAAAACAACGAAACCTTTAATTTACCGAACAAGAGAAGGTTCGGCATGTATACGTGTACAGGCTCGAGGAATTATATATATAAAGCTTCAGTATAGGTAGTTGTGGGGTGCAGGCAGTGCAAACGAGAATTTCTGGCAGTAGTGTACGCAAGTATATATCTATAAAAGACGGCTATATGCAGGATAGCGGCAACTCGAGGGAGTGAGAGCCGCGAGTATAAGAGAAAACGAGGAGTTACAAACTTAGCTTTGCTGCTATTGCCTGAACTTCCGCCCCACACAGTTCGTTCGACTCTCTCTCTCTCTCTTTCAGTCAGGCAGTGCAGTATTATTTTTCTCTCGTTTTCGCGAGCTCGCGCGACCCAGAGGCTGTATCTACCCCATTCTCCGTTCGGTTGAGTTAAGCTCACTTAATTAAAAGCAAAATCCAATAACGAATTGTTCTTCAATTAAACTCGCGCGTCATCTCAATCTTCGTGCCTCGTTCATCTGTCTTTCTCTATCTCTCTATCTATTATCAATCAGTCGAACACAATCGATGACGATGACGAGTGTGTCAGGTGCAGCGAGCGAGCTGAAGCTAGTGACGACCTTAACGTGTGCGACGGGAGCGATGACAGCCCCGCATGCCATCGTCCGATATCAAAGCCGCACGCAGCTATATATATACTCATAGCTCTAAATAATGCGAAGGAGCTGGCACGCACGCGCGCAGACACAATGTGGAGACAATAGCTCGAGTGCGAGGCACGATGAAAAAAAAAAAGAACGAGCTAGAAGCTAGAGTCGGGCTAGCGGGAAGCAAAAAACAAAACAAAAAGCAAGAAAGAAGAGAGCCCGCGCACAACGTGGCCTCTACATATATCTATACGGTGGAAGATGAGGAAGTAGTCCGCAAATAGATAGCCAATAATCGGAGCACGTGCAGCGCGTTAGTTCACGATCTGCCGACTGCAATTTCATTCCACATCGCAGCGGCGTTCGGCGCGGCCTGATGCAGTTCTCTGTCTATGTTTATGTGTGTGTGTATGTCTGTGTGTGTGCCGCTTGCACTGCGCTGCACACTACCCTTCGTCCACATACTCGCAGCTATATCGCACTTATATATCTATATAGACTAGCACACACGGCGTTCCCAAACTCCTGAATTCACGTACGAGTTGACAGCCGGATATTGTTGCTTCGCATCTATATACGAGTTGATGTGCGCCAGTTTGTATGTGTGTGTGTGTATGTGTGTGTGTATGTGTGTGGGAGTGCGCTCTGTAACTGCTCAACTACTATATCTGTGTTGGCCTGAATCCGCACCACTACCGAGTAGCCCCCGTGCGTTGCGGCAAAATAGAGAATAATATTGTTTGTTCCATAGCGTCGGTGTGTGCGTGGATTCCACCCTGGCAGGGTGCACGTGCACACAGGCACAGTCACGAGCCAGCGACGATGACAAGCTGCAAGCCAAAAGTTATGTTTTCGCTCCGTAAACTTTGTTACTATTCTATTTTCTGGTCTCTGCTCTTGTGTTATATTTCGCCCGCGTTATGTATACGTATTATCAAGAACAATAAAAGCGAGCCAAGGAAGCTATAGCTACTGCCGGCCAAAGGCTCGACGACACCGCGGAGGGCTCCGATTATTGTGTTATTCTTTAGCGCTGATCAAGCGCAATTTTTTCTGTTCCGACCGAGCAAAGAGCTGAAAATTTGATTTATCGTTTCTCCTCTTAATAACGTATACAATTTTTTGGCCCCAAGTCGCAAGGGAATTAATGAGCTTTATCAGCAAGACATTTTCTTTTTAATTAAAGCGACTTAAAAAAGAAACGAAAAAAAAATTGAGAAAAGCTGTACGAGTATGATCCTCAAGCTCGTTTGGAAATGACGTGTAAATATGAGAGAGCGAAAGAGAGCGAGGGAGCCAGATTTCATAATGACGCTCACACGGGCGGGCGTATCACTTGATTGCACGACATTGTCTCATAATAATATTCGCGCTTGTTCCGTACAAAGAAACCATTTAGCATTAAGGGAGAGCTCGCTAAGACTTACGATTCAATGGATTCTTCTATTCATTATCATTTGACTATTAGCAGAAGGGCTAACTAGCGAGATGGCCAAATTAATTTTCCAAGCTTGTAATTGCACGGTATTGACGGAGTATTTCGAAGATTTTCAAAGCTTTTTCGTTGTTAAATCTCAAGTTTTAAGAGCGATGAAGGAATGTATATTGACGCTTTTAAGAAAATATTTAGACTCGCGTCTGGGACATTTTTTACCTTATCATTATGAGTAATTGTAAATTTTAGTGAAAATGAGCCAACATCGGAATTGTAGCGTGAAAAGCCATTTAAGCGATTGTCTGGATGAAAATCAATATAAAAAGTTAAGAAGAATAAGAGTGCAAAAGTCCTTCTCGTACACTTTTAAAAGATAAAAAAGTCCTTATCCCCAGCAGATGTATAAAGTCTTATCTCGGCGTGAAAAAAACTTTGTCTCTGTCTCTCTGGCTGTGCTTCGAGAAAATGAGAGTAAAAGCAGCGGCACAAACCCAGCGCAAGCACTTAAAGAAAGGAAAAAGAAAAGCACTTTAACTAAAGAATTACTGAATGCGATTAAATAGTTTTCATTACAGTGTAATTCTTATTATTTCGTCCTATTATCATATAAATACTAAGGGTCCAGGCCCCCCGCGCGTTTACCCTCATGTTTCAAGATAACATATACAATATTTTTTAGTCTACATTGGACATATAAATATCTTATTATGTTGAGCATATAAGCGAAGTCGTTTTTTTTCAACTTCAGTAGAGTACGTTCTTCAAGTTCCAAGAAAAGCTTATATGTAATTGCACGCATTTTGTATGCAATCGACCAAAATTAATCTAAATTTCAGTAATTTGTCGGAGATTTTTTTTCTAATACATGACTATATTTTCTATCATGCGATAAGGTCTCATTACTAAAGCGGTTTTCTTTATCATTTCGGTCGATGTATCCGAATGCACTTTAAGGCAATTGCCATGTAATTCTACAAAATTATTGTAGATTTTAGTAGTTTAACTAACATTTTTTTCATGTTATTAATAATATCAATTAATACTTTTGTAATGCTAACAGACAATAGTATAATACATTCATGAAGTCAGATTACAGTTATAAGGCCATGTAAACATGATTAGTTTATTTTGTAAAATAGAAAAATATATATTTTTTAAAATAGAAAAATTATATCGCTGGGATTTTGGTACTAAATTTCTATCTTTGATAGAAGCACCTGGGTGGATACTCATTATTCGCATATACATCTTCGTTGAAAGTTACGATGTACGAGTAACTCGACTACTCAGCAAAGGTGTTGAATGTCAAAAGTATACTTTCATATTATAATATACGCGTACGCATGTGTATAAAATGAAATAGTTACCTGTGATGTTTAGAGTGATATGTTGCACGTTGTTGCATTCACGGTTGACGGCTAAGTAGGTCACTTCGCATTTGTACAGAGCCTCGTCTTCTAGTGTCAGGTTGGAGATTTTCAAATAAGACTTCGTCATGTTGTTTTTTGGTACGACCATTGACATTCTGTAATTAGACGTTTTATGTTTAAAATTTTGTATACATTTATCAGATGATCTATGTAGTATATTAAATAGAAACATTGAAAATTCAGGAGTAAAAAAATGTTAGCCTCAAGCTTTTTTTCTCTTAGCGTAACACTTTTTTATCTTCAATAGGGGAAAAAGTTTTAAATTCGAAATCCGATGATGATAGTTATGTTTCGACCCTTAACTTTTTTCTTTTTTCTTTTTACACATTGAATGCCGTTGAAATTTGTCGAGCTTTTTATTGGAATCATCAAAACTTTTTTAGCTCCACGATCCCTTCAATACGAGAAGATTGAGCTAGTGAAATTCGCCCAACTACTGCAGCCCTCGCGCGCAGGCAAGAACCATCGATTTTGTTTCCTTTTTTATTCGGTACGTTCGTTTTTCTCTTTTTTTTTATGAACGATGCACAAATCGTTAATTGCTTTTAAGTTTTCGATAACGCAACAAACTGGAACTTCGGATCGATATTTGGATAAAAGGTCGTAGCTTCAATGCTATTTGCTCCGAGACTTCTCACTCTTTTTCCAATTTTGCATCGTATAAACTCTAAATACAGGAGAAACGTTCTGCAAAGATAATAATAAGAAGAAGGAATAAAGATTGAAATAAGAATGAAAAAAGGTTGACAGACGCGAGAGCAACATGCGCAGAGAGCAGCAGCCGGAAATTATCTGCTTATATTATTCACGTAGTTCGCACAGTAGTGAGATGAGATCGCGTTCAAAATTACTCCAAGCTCGTTTAATATTGGATTTCATTGAATTGAAGGCATGTGCTAAATCGAATCAAAGTTTAAATAAAAAATAATCGATCGATTATCCTACTTACACACGTATGTGCATGCAATCTCGGTAGCCAAGTTTTCACTTAAGCTTCCGTATCGTGTACAGGAGCTAACTGAACTGCACTGCACTGTGTACACAAGCCAAGCGCAATTCTTATCTCGTTTTTTTCCTTCTTTCACTCTAACGTGTATCAACGTATATCTTCCTTGTGCTTTGCGCGTGTATGTGCGCACGTCTCTATTTGGCTCGTCCTCAAAGGATTTGGGCGCGCGCAGCGATTCTCTACGTGCAACGCTAACAGTGGTATCGAGCCTAGCTGCAAGTCGACATACAGAGAGAGACAGAAAGAGAGACTCTTTGAAATCGATAGCATGTATGCGTGCACGTACAGATGAACGCATTCAACTATTACTGCTCGGCTTTCTTATAAACCCACACGTAGACAGGCAAGGCATTCTATACTGTGAAGAAAAACATCGGATTGTCTCTCTTAAGAGCGTAAGCTTCTAAGGACGAAGGTGTGTTGTGTCACTGTAACCATGGAGAATTTGGCCTATTTTGTTTATTTTCTAAACACGTTTTGAAGTTTTTCTGGAAGCGCCGAAGCGTTAAATAAGTTTTGTGGTAAAAGAGGAAATAAATCGTTTATATACCTTTGAGGGATGCAATTTGATGTATTTCATTTCTATTTGCATTGGTTTAGCCACATTATAAGTATGCAAACGAGGCACAGAGGAATGGGAAGGAAGAAAGAAATTATTCGATGGACACATCGCCGCCCCAGCGCGAAAACTGCACTAATAAATGTGAGTGGCAAAAACGTGCCTTAGTTCTATCTTTTTAACGTGATATAACATATACTTTTTAGCACAAGACTAAAACACGTTTTTGCCACTCAAGTTTATTAGTGCGGTCTTGTATTGAGGCGGCCATATGCAACTGGAGGACTAAGGTAAAAAAGGCAAAAATTTTTTATAAAAAATAATAGAATCTTGTATTAAATTCACTGCACATTACGAACTACCACTGCTCCGTATGAAAAAGTATAGTAGTACCTTTTTTATGCCTCTTATAGGTCATTTTAAAATACCATAAAATAAAATTGAAAATGATTATTCAAATTTTGCGTTTTCGCATCACTGCTCGACTGCAGCATCTAGAATTCAATCAGCTGCTACATATGCGTTGTGCAGCTCTACGCTCGGAGCGTTCGTGTTGCAGCACGATGATATCCCACTCCCGCGCGCATGCAGAGCTCGCTGATGCAAACCGAACGGTCAAGCGTGAATCTCACGAGGTAGCTTGGAACTCGCACACATACATTAGAGCTCGGTGCTATATGCAACTGTTGCGCACACTGTTACGTGGCCTATCGTGTATTTGTTAAATTTGTTTCTGTAAGCAAAGATTGTTTATACCTTACTGTCTTTGCTCTGTCCTAATAGATGCTCAAAATAAATACCTTTATGAATATCGCGGGTTGACTCTACCGATGCTTGCAAAGTAAACTTGAATTAACCGACAACAACAGCAGCAACTTAAGATTAACTGATAAAGCTGAAATTATATATAAATGTGATATCAGTTACACGTGAACTGCGTTGGCATCAGGAGCAGTAGCAGCAGTGCATGATACGTTACGTGATTGCGAGCAAATTAATATCTCACGTGTTCAAACTGGCGGTGGTATATACCGCCCGCGGTATTTAATGCTAATTACGAATCAAGCATGACTATATATCAGCTGACTGGCCCTGCCAGTACATGTATACGTGCAGTCTCTCTTTGATTTGACGCAACTCTCGCTGCTGCTACTACATGAATCCCTATACTGTATACCGAATGTATGCGAGCGAGTGCACGCGGGAGCCTAGTACAATGCACATATCTCTGCGATCTCGCTCAGCAGCGATTGCGCGCGTATTGAATGCTGTGTGAACGGATGTATAATATTGTACGCCTGCAGTGTCACTGCTGTTATACACCCGGTGACACGTATATAATTGCTTTACACAGAGAAAATTAACTCGGCTACCCGTAGTCATCGGGAGCAGACGTTTATTACATGTGCGCATGTTCGCTCACATTCACCTTCGCACCCAAACTGCACTGTTGAGCTCGGCGTTTTTTTTTTTGTTTTTTTGTTTTTTTTTTTTTCAAAAATTGTGACGCGTAATGGATCACGAAGGCTTAAATTTTGACGGCACTTGTGAGTCGATTATTGGTTCTCAGTTTGAATGCGAATTGCAAACACGCTCATTTTATCATAGTAATTAAGTAACAGCCAATTATAATTAAAGGCAATCTTATGTACTGTCGCACGCTCACTCTGAAAATTCATTTGCTAAACCTAATAACAATAATGATTCGATGCCAGCAGTTGAGACGCTAGTCATAGTAATAATAACAATAATAATGATAATAATATTAATGATCATGATAAAGCAGCGAGTGTCGTGCAAGAGTAGTTAGGCATGAAAGTTTGTCTGCGGCAGGTAGCTGTTGCGAAGTGGGGGGCGCAAGACGCAGCACAGCGTGTGCAGTCGGAGCATTAGAGCTTCGTTGGCTGCGCACAGCAGCGCTCTCGGGCTTCCAAGAGGCCAACGTCGAAGTCGTTGTAATAATTAGTCGCTGGCGCGGTGGCCTGGCGTTTTCGGGAAACTTTATTACGCGTACATCGCGAGCTTAAAACGACGACTACGCGACTCGGCGTACAGGACGACCTAACTAGAGCTACGTACCTCGAGGCGACCTCGTCGTTGGCAAGAGTCATCTCGCCCTCGGCGCTGTAGACAAAGATTCTTTCGTTGCCTTGATACCACTTGATGCTGTGCAAGCCGATGCACTGGGGCAGTTTGAGGATGCACGGTAGCTGTATCTCCGTGCCGTACTCGGCGTGTTTTGAACTTTTTAGCCATGCCTCGCTGCTGCCGACGCTTCCACCGCCACCTGAAACGACAAAACAACGCCCATAGCTTTAGATACATAGTCAAATGTAACGAATCACATTGATCAGTTTTTTATTGTTCGCTTCGCTTTTTATTGTCCCGTTTGATTATAAACGCGTAAAGATGTGTGCGCACAAGGCTTTGTTCATAGATTTTTCGGAAGTACTGGAGCTTGAATACGATCATCTAGATTAGTCTCTATATAGAGGCGATATTTCTGTGCGAATGCTCTGACCGTTGCATGCGGGCGGAATGCACACTATGCACGCACAAGCGAACATTTTTTATCTCCTCGTGCGTCCGTGCGTGCGTGCGTAAGCTTGTGCGCGTGTAAAGCCAGGAAAAATAAAATATTGCGTGCGGTGCGCGATGGTTGCGACCAATCTACACGTTCGGCATAAAAATTGTTGACTGAAGAATGCGCGATCCCTACACACAAATATAGCTTCGCATGAAGCGTGCCAAAAATAATCACGACTGTACGGTTGCAGCACACCGCGTGTGCAACCACAAAAATTGAATAAAAGAACAATCAGGTATTATGATTTTTCCATCCCTGTCTCTCTGTCTCTCTTCCTTTTTCATTCGAATCGTATAATAAAAGCTCAACTGCCAGAGTATCACGCAATACCTCGAGCGTATAATTAATTTACAAGAGACACGCGCGTAGCTTTAATAAACTAAAAGAAACTTTGAAATGTTTCCAGTTTTTGACGCGAGGCAAAATGCGTTGGAGATGAGTGCAGCGACAACAACGATTAACATTAGTACTCATTTTATGCAAATGTATGTAGTATATAGTATAGTGGAGAAATATACTGGAGAACTAGTCGAAAGCTGCAAGCTCAAATCAATAACCATCCGAACTCGCGAAGCTTTCACACACAAACAGACGAAAGGCTCGAATAATACCTATGCAATCCGTATTTAGAGCGGGTGTGTGGGTGCGCAGAGCAGACTCGCGATACACAATGCTCTAATCAGCTTATACACTCCTGTGCACACATACATTCAGCCATCCACGCACATCCATGCGCGTTGTATACGAGCGCCTAGATGCATTATACATAGACAGTGTCTACCGCGCTTTAGATGTGTAGCAGATAGAAAGAGCTCGTAGAGTACTTCGATAAAGAGATAGAGAAAACGAGGCAGCTCAACTCAATCGAAACTTGGCCTCTCCAGCGTATATATACGTGTAGCTTTTCGCTACCGCGTGCTGGTATCCTCATTTCGTCTTTCAGGTCTCGCCCTGCAGGAGGGCTTAATAATTGAGACTAAAATGTATCGCGCGCAAATGAGGGCCTTGCTGAGCTATACCGGGGCGTAATATAATTTAGAGCCTCGAGTGAGCTAGAGCGTATATCGGCTCGAGCCAGTTATACTCAGCTGACAATTCGGTATGTGCAACAAGCGATTCGTTGCGCGTACGCTCGAAATGCACAAAGCTGAGGGAGCTCGAAGGAGCCACGTGACATGTTTATGGTTTCATGTCGAGACCAAAGCTGACTACGAAAATTGCAACGAGCTCGACTGCAATGGCTATTTTCAAGTTTTCTTTTGAGTTCGCGGAGTGTTATATTAATTGCTGGACGAGTTTTGAACGTACAAGTCGCTGATTGAAATGAATATTCAGCTTTGGAATAATCCTTTGGTGGATTTTTGACCATAGTTTTTCGCGATGCATTGATCGATGGATTTCATCTCGTATCTCGCAGATCGAATAACCACAACGGCTTTTCATCAGTCTGACCGTTTGACCGTTCAGTCATTGTTATTCACACGGTGCAGTCGCAAGTGGGCAGCCGAGAGAGATAGAAATGCTATATTTCCAGAGGCCATAGAGCAGTGCACCTAACGGATTGATCGGTGGCACGCACGCATAATGTGTATCGAATGATCGCCGATGCGCGATAAGAGCGGCCGGGTGGGAGCGCGCGCGTATTAGGTGTCTCTCGCGATGTCGTGATAGTAACGCACACTGCCGAGCGCACGCCGTTCTCGATATCAAAGTGAAATACGAAGCGGATGCATACTTCGCTTTGCTTCTGTTCTGTGCATAGGGTTAAGTGTGTGCGCGTATGCATGTGCGTGGCTGAAGGCAAAACAGATGTTACATTATAAGCACGCCTGTATCGGTTGCGCGAGTTCAGTCTATTCTGCATATTCTCTCTCTATTTGGCGCGCGGGTGTGTGTCTGTATCGTGCACCTGACTTACTCGATACTCGCTCGCTGGTGCAAACGCTCCAGCGAGTAAGTAAGGGCTCACGACGCAGCCAGCGCATTATATACATCTTAATTTCCGTTTACAGATCCAAAGACGTAGATATTCGTGTATGAAAGCCTGATGAGCTTCTGTGCACTATATATCATAAGCATTGATTCACTTACACGACAAAGTGCGTATATGCACACTGGCATGCAAAATGTTGCCCTGATCTTTATTAATGATGTGTTCGCAGTTTGCATCGGGCGTCAGAGGCTTTACTGGCTTTTTGTTTCGAGATCACTGGAGGAAATAATGGAATTTGCCTTTGAGGAATGGAGAATTCATACAAAGTAACAAACTGACAGTCGGAAAATGTTCAATTTTGGCTCAAGTTATTTCGGTTTGCAAACCGTGTTCTTTTTTGTATTTTAATTTAATATTTACCTAGTGAATCAAATATTTACCACCGTTTAGAAGTAAATTCATTAACAATCTTTTCAGTGTGTGTGTGTGTGTGTGTGTGTGTGTGTGTGTGTGTGTGTGTGTGTGTGTGTCCACTAAACTGTTCCTTAATTAACACTTTTTCACTTTTAAAATATCACGTCCGTGAATAATCGATATAAGTCATCTCAATTCGAGCTCTCTATGTCTGCTCTGCTTGATTTGTTTTTAGCAATAGTATAGTGAGAGGCACGATTCTGACACATTGACACAGGCAAATATATCCATATTCACGGCAAAACGTTGTCATTCATTGATCCACGTGAAGGAGAGAGAGAGAGAGAAAGGGAGAGAGAAAAAATTTATATGTTTTTTGGTAGAATCGCGATAACGAAATGTACCCGTACAGAAAGGGTATCTATCTATATATGCGCATGTGTGAGGGTGAATGTAAGCACATGTAAATAGATAAGTATATGTCACCTTCATACAAACACGCGACATAGTTCTCTCAATTTTTCTGCTGCCTGACATTTTCTTTTTACGCGTTGAAGCTCGAAAGACCAGACTGTATGGGACGTGAAATTGCCACCGCACATCCTGACGAGATTTTATTTTGTTTATAGTAGTCTATACACACAGCGACGCACACGTATACGCATTCACATTGCGCATTTCGTGGTATAATGATACTTTTATTTCTTTTGCCTCGCGTTTTTCCTCGTTCATCATTCAGCTCCCTTTCTCCTCCTCTACGTATGCCTCTGCTTTTCTCAACGCGTATGATGGGTTTACCTACTCTTTTTTCATTTCCATTTTTCTTTATATAGAATTAATCTGCGCTTGCAACGCGAGTTTAAACTTATTTCCCAGCAGCCGCTGCTTTATTACGAAAAGATTTTTTGCTCTTTATACTGTAACAGTGGTGGAATGATGCTGCATATAGCGCAGATGTAAATCTGTGATTTTTGTCAATTAGGCACGCTCGTATGCAGTGCTTTCAGATTCGGCTAATTTCAACGGGGAAATTCATAAGCTACGACGAATTTCGTAATTGCGTAGAAATTCAGCAATGCAGGGCGCATTGTAAAATAAAAAATTTGCTCGTTGGGTGCTTTAGTGCTGTTTCTCATCCAATACAGTCTGATCCGCTTTGTAAAAAAAATAAGAAAAAAGAGATGCTTATAGCAAACTGTGAATCGAGCCAAGCTCCGCACTGGTACATCCCAGCCGATTTCAGTATACAGTAATGTACACGAGAAACAAAAAATTTAGTAACGATGCTTCTTTTGGAGAAAAAAAGGCTGTATATGATCATTCAGGATGCACTTATGCATTTATAAATAAATATCGAACGAACATGATTTTAGAATTCGATCGATTGAGCCACAGTAAAACCAGAAATAATACTTGGGAAGAAATTGACCTTTTCAATGTGTGCAAGACACGTACACGTAAACACAAATCCACTATCCACACCCGTACACATTCCTGCACACAAACATACTCGTATGCGCACTCGTATTCACGCATACGTATGCGGCTTCCATGAGTATGCTAGCAGCAAACAAAGCAATAGGTTTTTCAAAAACGCAGTTGCACCTCCCTCACTAGACTCCTACACACATGTACGGATGTGGGCATGTACTCGCGCAAACACACACATAGCCACACATACACATACATACATGACGTAGTGAATCGATGAGCTGTCGCACTCATTCATCTTCCACCTCTCACTTTTTTTCTCATTCCCGCAAACCGATGCACATCTAGGCACATGGATCGACATTTGTCTATCCCGCTGAGTTCCGGAGATGTTGGTCTATATTTTTGCCGTGCCTGCACAAAAATACGATATTTTCTCACATTTTGCATGGCTGCGTCCTCGGTGCGAAATATACAACTCGCACACAGACACAGAGGGCGCATGTGGCCCCACGTGATCAGACTCAGTCTGGCGTCGAGCCAGTTTCGTCGCAGTTTCTATGCTTCTAGAATTTACCTACTCGTGCTAATATATAATGGTGGCGGTCGTCAGCTCCCCCTTGGCCCCTTCGCTTGCGCAGGGCGCAGCCTCAGCTAGTACGGAGCAAGAAACGCATTATCCCGAAACAACGCACAGTTCGCTTCGATAGAAGCGAATCACTACTTTGCGAGGTAGGAATAACGCAAAACCACTAGCTGCTCGCTGCATACTCATATACAAAGAAGCGCGCGGCGTTTGCACACACATACGCAAACACATTGAAGCGCATATACACAAATTGAGATATAAATATACATTTATGCGCATGTGCTATGTTCGCGCGAAGCCATGCGTGGGTGCCGTATAAGATGGTTGTGCCAT